GTCGGGGGCGGCGGGCCGGCCCTGGAGGCATTGTTCTCCAACTTTGCGCGCCGGAGGGGGGCCGCCGACGTGGAGGGCCCCGCGCCGCCCCCCGGCGCCCGCACTTGGGAAACTTTGAGCAGCCCGCAGCCGGCGTGCGGGGAGGGGGTTGGGGGGGCGCCCGAGAGGTTGTTCCCAACTTCGTGGCGGGGGGCTCCCTGAGCCCCCAGCGTGGGGATCCCCGGGGCACCCCCTTCTCCAGGGAGGGGCCCAGCTGGGGTTGGAGTTTGGAGGGGTAGCGGGGGGTGGTGGGGGGGGAGAGGAAGGTCCTTTTGTCTGCGCTTAGGAAGGTGCCACCGCGCGCACCGCACGTTTAGGGTGCTGGGCCGGCGCTGGGGGGCTGGGGGCGGGCCGGGCGGGAACATCTGCTCTGCGTTAATGCTGGGGCGCGGCGCGGCGCGGCCCGGGGTCGAGGACACCGCGGTGGCGCGGCAAGCTTCAAAGGGTTCCCGGGCCGCACCGGCTGCCTGGGGAAAGGGGGGGGGTCCTCGAGCCTCCTCCCCTCCCCCCCCCATAAAAGATGAAACCAAGTGGTTTTCAAACACCTCTCAAGTCCGCCGCTAGTCTCCTCCCCCTAAAGTCCTATGATACCCCCAGAAATCTTTAGTTTCTCTAAAAAGCCTGTTTCAGTCCTCCCCCAAGTCGGCCTGAAAATCGGTTTCAACTAACCCCACATTAAAAGTGCGGTTTCGTACTACTCAAAAAAAGTTAAGTTTCACACGCCCTCCGAAAAGGAAAATAAAAAGAGAGAGAGAGACACGAGCGAGGGTGCGACGGGGCGTCCGTTTCACACCCGGTGTTGGAGTTGGCAAACAAAGGGGGGTTCCTCTGCTTTTGAAGTTGGGTCTTCCTCTGCCTCATACACCCTCTCCCCCAGCCTTCGAGGGTTCTGGGGCGGTCCCTTGCCGAGGGAGTCCTGGAAAAAGTTCTTTGGGAAGGGAGGCCTTGCTTTAACTCCCTCTCTTAGGGTGGGATGGGGCCTGGCAGGTGGAACCCCTTCCCCCACCCCAAAGTAGAGCCCCCTTGGGATTGCCTGGAGGATCCTTGGTCTTGGAACACCCCCTCCCTCCCCTCCTCTAGAAGTGGGGAGGCAAAGGATGTTTTCAAAGTTGCTTAAAAATAATTGCCGGATACATCATGACAATAAAACAACCTCGGATTTTTTTTTTCTACTGAATTTACTTGGTTGGGGGAGGAGGGGTGAGTGTGAAGGGAAGCTGAGCAGGTCCCCTGATCAGGGAGTCTAATTGCTTGAAGTTGTAAAGCCAACAGTGTGGCACCGCCCAGCTTTCTGACTTGTAGATTTATTTCTCATTGGATTTGGGGGTAACTAGGGTCTTTACCATGCTGTGACAGCTGCTTGGGGAGGGGAGGGTCCAGCAAATTTCCCTTGGGGCTGGACCTGGACTGTCCCTCCCCTCTAGGGGTTGGGCTACTGGTGTAGCCAGGACAGGGCTGAAAATGAGAATCTGGGAGCCCACCATCCCATTTAAATTGTGCAACTAGTTTCTCTAGTGGTCACCCAGGGAGTTGGGGGGCTTTTGTATTTGACACCCCTCTCCCATTGTTCAGGCTCCCTGTGGCTTCTCAGGCACCCAGTGGGCATCCCAGATTCCCTGGCCCCTTTCCTCAGGACTCTCATAGACTCCAACCTCTCACTTAACCTATTTCCCACAATCCTCTTGGGTCATACTTATTGAAACTTTTTTTTATTTTCTGTTCATGTGTACATATTGCTCATCTCTACATATGTCCACTATTTGGGGTTTGTTGCACAGGGCTGTCTCTAGACCTGGGGAAGCCACCCCAATTCCTGCACAGGCCCTTGCTGGAGGATGAACCAGTCCCAGAGAATGGCGCCTGTGGGCACGGACAAGGAACTGAGTGATCTCTTGGACTTCAGTATGGTGAGCCAGCCCTCCTCTTCTGTCTGCCTCCTGCTTCCAGGGTTCACTGGCAGGTTTTTAGGAGGGAAGAAGCATCTGTGAGCCTGGAAGTGTTGGGCCTCCAGCTTACTTGGATGGAAGGCTCCCCAGGTAGAGCTGGGGGGTTCCCTTTTCCAAGGCTGACATGTCCCATGGGTGTATAACTGGAGGGTTTTGCCCAGCCAAAGAATGGATCCATGACTTTACAGGTGGGGAAACAGACTGAGGGTGGAGGTGGGGAGCTGGGCTTTCCCCACCTTAGCTTGGCTGTGTGAGCCATTGTGGCCTGAGGGTTTCAACTAAAATGGGGCTATTTGCTCCATCACAGATGCAGAGAAGGAGAGAGGACTCAGTGCTGAGCCAGCCCACCCTGGGGACCTCAGCCTGCATAGGACTCCCTGCGCCTGTGGCAGAGGATACAAAGTGATTCCTCAATTGGTCACACTTACTGGCAGGTGGGGTGGAGTGGATGGGCCATGAACCCCCTGTGAGTGAGTAGGGATTTATGAATAGAGCTGGGCCTGGAGGTGGGACCTCGTTCACACACCCGGTTAGTTACAGTAAAGGTCATGGTTGGGGAGAGACACCCTCCCCAGATGGTCAAAGGGGCCCTGAATGGCCCATTTTCCAGCTGTCTAGATGGAGCTCAGAGATGGTGCTGGCTTAGAAAAAAGTCCCAGCACAGACTGGCCTAGCGAGGCAGAGAAACCAGAACTCCCTCAAAAGCTGGGAGCTGGTGGGCCTCTGAAAGGCATAGGCCCCTCAGTTTACCAGTCTGTGCAGTAAGCTCTCTCCCATAGGTATCAACCCCTGAACCATGACTTTTTCCTTCTCACTTGAATGTGGCTAATTCCCTAAATCCTGCCTCCATCCTCCCAAGCTCCATGTTGTCTGAAACAGCTGGGGAAAGGTACTTTCAGTCTGAATCGAACCCTTCCTGGTTGACAACCCAGGCCCCTAAGGCTGTCAAAAACAAAAGTCCCCAAACTGAAACGGCACCAGCCACCCTGCAGAAAAACAGCCCACGCGACAGAGCGGCCGAGGTTCCGGAAGGACCATGCTGGTATTTTTAAGTGCTGTTTTATTTTTGCCTCCTTGGCTGAGTAACCAGAGGTACAGTTCAGTTGTGTGTGTGCGTGTGTGTGTTGTTAAACTGACAGGTCACAGCCTACTGGGCCAGAACACACCAGCTTGAGGGTGTAGGCTCATCCTCCTGGGAGCAGTCAGCCCCACAGTGTCTTCCATCCAAAGCCCTGAGCCCCTTGTCCAAGCTATCCCCCCAAGACATGGCACAGCTGAGAGGCTGAAAGTGAGGAACTTGCCTCTCGGAGTGTTCTACGTCTAGGTCTCGCACAGTGCTGGTGGGAGAGCAGAGGCGGCCCTTTACCCCCACCCATTGCTCTTCAGGACCCCCACAGCCACCTATGCTGCTTGCCTTAGCAACAGGGAGTTAAAGTATTTGTTTGAGCAAGACCTTTAATTTGAGCCATGCACAGCAAAGAAAGCTCTTCCTTGGGCCAGGGGTCACAGGAGCAGAGAAAGACTAAGACTGCTTTCAAAATAAGTACAGAGAAAATGTACTTGTTCTGTTAGAATCCTACTAGCATCAGATCCTAGACTTGAACTTCCTTGTCCGAGGAGAGTGAATAGCTCGAAGAACATGGAGGTGGGATGGGTGTCCTGGAAACCCTCTTCATGGGTCTAGGATTGTCCCTGGGCCTGAGGAACAAACTGGCAGGGCAAAAGGGGAGGCCCTATGGCCCCTCTGCCATTGGTGACCAGCACTCCACAGTGTGCACAGGTCTGTCTGCAGCCCTTCCCACATGGCCAGCATCCTGAGTCCATTTGGCCAAAGAGGAAACCGAGGGGTGTAGGGTGGGTCTGGGCTGATCAGGAAGCTTTCGGAACTCATGGAACAGTTCCCGGTACCTTCTGGGCAAATGCCACATCAACGTAACCCTAGTAATCAAGGATAAAGCATGTGGGAATAGAAACCAACCAGTTTCTCAAGGCTGTAAGCCTCAGTTTCCCCATTGGGATCTGATCTTGGGAAACCAGCGGTGTCAGCGTGAGAGGATGTGGACCAGGTTGAAACCATGTGTAACTTAGTATAGCTTGGCCTCTTAGCAGTGAGATGTGTCCAGCCCCACTTGCCAGACTGAGTTTCCTCTTGTGTAGAATGAGAGTGGAGACTGGAGTCTGCTTCCCAGGTCCAATTCCTGGAGGTCCTAGACCCACAACTGGTTAGCTGGCTAAAACGTGTTGGGAGTTTGGGGATGGGGGTTGACTCCACCCAGCAGCCTTGACCCTTTGTCCATCCCCTAAAGCCATCTGGGCCCTGCTTGGAGTGACTTTGGAGAGCCAACCTCATGAAGCAGGGCAGGGATGCACTTTTTTTTTCCTGTGGCCCAAGGGTTTGTTGATAGTGGGTCTTTGAGGTAATACTGCTAAGCTGTTTAATCATTAGAGACTTAGCACCCTGAGTCTGATTGAGCCAATATGGAGTTGAGAGCAGTAGGTGGCAGCCTCATAACCATGGCATCTGGGCTAACTGCAGTGTCATTTGGACGTCAGATAAAGTTGGACACTTCATGTCAAGTGTCCAGCTCTATCCAGACTTGAGCGTCAGGTTCCTCTTCTGACCTATGCCTTATTATTCCTGCCTATCAGGTGTGGTATGAGTATACAGTCCACATAAGGGCTGTTTCACCCTGACCCATGGTCCCTGCACAGGGGGCAACAGTTACATAGGCCCGGGCTTGAGCATTTGAGGCCTGAGCCTCTTGTTCTTCCACCTGTTCACCAACATCTTACTTTTCTAAGCTGAAGCTGAAGGAAAACTTCAGGTCACTGTTGGAGCCCATGAACTGCAGTCCTTGCCTAGAAACCTTGTTGCCTAGACAGGTTACATTCAGACCCATTCCCACCCCACCTAATAGCACAAACCTGTAGCCAAACCTGGGACCTGAAGTCCTGGACACTGGCCTGGTGGGCAGTGTGAGGGCATGCCAGCAGCCAGGATTACTGTGACCTTATCCCAGGCTGCGGGTACTGGAGGTACACCCAGCTTCAGGGAATAGCAGGCCTCAAGTGTCAGGTCGATAGTGGCAAATATCCCTGTATACATCTCAGTCCCTACCATCTCTGAGCTCTGCCCCTGTAAGGAGCCGAGAAGCATGGTCTTGTATTTGGAGCCTGTCCTCACTGCTGTCCTTCTCTGTCTCCTGCAGATGTTCCCGCTGCCTGTGGCCAACGGAAAGGGCCGGCCTGCCTCCCTGGCTGGAGCCCAGTTTGGAGGCTCAGGTAAGACTGTGGAGAGTCAGCTGGAGACCATCTAGGACAGGAAAAAGGTCCCCTGGGGGGTCAGTGGGGAAGGTATACACTTGTGGCATTGGGGACAGCAAGCCAAAGAGCACCCCAAGTTAGCTGTCTAGCCTGAGAGCATGGTGTCTCCACATTTTGTCCTGAGTCGGGTTGGGACTGGGTGAAGTTCCTCTGGGGACAAAGCTGTGCCCACGTCCACATGTGGATGGGGCTCAGGCCTTGTCATGTCCAGTCTATCCATGGGGAAACTGAAGTGCTCGCCCAACCCTCACATCTTGTAAGCCCTGCTGAAGCTTGGTCTGCCTTGTCATTTGCATCTAGGAGGTGTTAGACACTCACAATGCCCACACCTTACTGCTGAGCCACCCTAGTTTCTGAGGATCAAGGGGGCCTCTGGGATCAGACCTTCGAGCACTAACAGTGGAAACATCCCAGGCCAGTCTGAGCAAGTTAGTCACCCTGTCTGACAGTGACTGGTCAAGGACAGCAAAATAGAGCAGCAGGCTCAAGTCTTGAGCATAGCAAGAGTTTGGGGCTGCCCATCCTGGAGGGGTCCAAAGCTGGGGAAAGTATGCAGAGCCCAAGAGCAGAGGAAGGGAGCTAATAGCTGTGGGAAGTAGGCCCAAGAGGGCAGAGGGAGCCCTGGGATGATGGGATGGGATGACTGGGGTACGCCAATTGGTGAAGGCGAAGGCCCGGGGGGTTCACAGTAGGTGCTATGAGTCTTTGTTCCTGAGACTGTGGAAAGCCATGGAGGGTGTAGGGCAGAGGTCATCCTTCAGATTGGAACCCCCCCCTGGCTGTGGGCAGGGATTGGTGGGGAGGTTGGGCAGATGCTAGTTGCCAGTGCATCTGGCTGTCTTCATGCCCTTGAGTGTCTTACTAGGGGCTTAGAATCGGGGCCTCCCCAGATGTGTCCTCAGCCCTAGATAGAACAAGCTCTGTCTTATGGTGACCTCTCAGGCCCATTTGGGAGTGACCTATAAGCTGTGGCCCTAGGACAGGGGTTTGAATTTATTTGCACACTCCACCCCCAAAGGAAGGCCCTCAGCCCCTGGCCTGCTGGCCTTCCCTTCTGTTGAGGAAGTGACTGTGGAGCTGGCCAGGACTCCTAGAGACATGGAAATCCCCACAGGCCCCCACTGCCACAGAAGCAGCCCCCAACACCATTAGACTGAGGCTTCTACCCTCAGACAGGGTTAGGCCACTGTCTATCCTGAATATGGAGGGAGAGGTGGAGGCTTCAGTCCTCATCCACTGTCCATCTACCCTCTAGCCCTTCCATAGACCTGCAGCCAAGGCCAGCATCTCCAATTTGCAGGGCCACAGTGCAGACGTAGGTCCCTAAGCCTGAGACTGTTGCTCACTGGGCCCTGGCTGGCTGGCAGAACTGGACCCTGTGGACATTGCAAATTGGTTTTCCTGGTTCCTGTCCACTCTACTCTGCCTACTCTTGGCCTTTGGCCTCTGGCCTCATGGGTCAGGGCCTGGGGAGGCATGTCAGGTTCCTTTCTTGCTGTGGAGGTACAGATACAATAGTCTTCATCTTGCCCTCCCCCCCCCCATTGTACAGTTGTAGCAGGTAATGCCAGTAGCTCCAAGGGCATCAGGACACAGACCTGAGACACCCTCCTCTCACAGATGTGTACCAGACAGGCATATCACTTGCCGGATGATGTCACTTTGACAATCCTAGGTTTTCTTGTCTTCAGAAGGATCATCTGCCCCATTCACAGAGAATGTAGCAGGTCTGTGGACATGAGAGGGCTGGGGTTGCCCACTCTCAGGCTGCCACACCACGGAACCAAGAACCCCAGAGAGGGCCTTGGTGGTCCACCAGTGGGTGGTGAGCAACTATGTTAGCTTCCTGGGCCATTCCCTGGGTGAATTTCCCCCTACTCATTTGAGCCCTTATTTTAGAGTCAATCAACTTTTTTTTTTTTCTGGCAAGCATTTTAAAGTCATAGTTGCAAGAAGATGCAGAGATGCATATGGAGAGGGCCCATGTGCCCAGGGTGGCAGCCTGTGCATCTGCCATATAGCAAGACGCATGCAAGGGTGGAGTGGTCACTGCCTGGTATTACGTGTGTATGCAGGCTGATGTTCTGTGTGGTTTTATCCCTGTGGATAAAACTGACATTGTGCTTGTTCCTCAGAATGGTCTCCCCATCTCTCTATCACTCCTCACCCTAACCCCAGCCTGTGCAAATGGAGGTTCCTTCTTATTGCTGAGGGATCAGCTCTTTAAGGACTGCATAACATCAGTGTACATGGCTGTTTCCTAAGCATTACATGTATTGTACTATGCTTGGGTCATGGCCTAAGAACTCCCAGTGCTCACAGGTTGAATGTACATCGCTATTTCCTAAGCATGGCATGTATTGCACTATCCTTGAGCCATGACCTAAGAACTCCCAGTGTTCCCAGGTTGAATTCAAAGTTGCAGTGATCTCTGCTGTATTAGAAGGGAGTTTCATTCCCGCTGTCTAATACTGCCTCCCAGTAGTGTCCTGATCCCCACCTAGAATGGCTGTTGTTCATTTGTGTAGAACCAATCATAGTCCTCAACATGCTAATTAGGTGGGGTAGCACAAAGGAAACAAGTATCAAGGTTCAGAAGTTAGTCATCAGAATAAACTCAGGGAAGTTGTTTTTTTTTTGTTTTTTTTTTCTGGTCGTAGGGCCTGAACTCTGGGCCTGGGTGCTGTCCCTCAGCTCTTCAGCTCAAAGCTAGCGCTCTACCACTTGAGCCACAGAGCCACTGCCAGCTTTTTCTGCTTATATGGTCCTCAGGAATTGAACCCAGGGCCTGGTGCATGCAAGGCAAGCACTCTACCACTGAGCCACCTTCCCAGCCCTCAGGGAAGTTTTTTAGGTGTTTGAAAAGTCTCCCTTGGTCACATTTACAGAGAGGATTGGGTGTGGGTAGCTTTACATTTTCCGTGATACCTTCTGGGCTTTCCTCCTGCTTTCTACCTGGTGCCCCTGGCATCCTTAGCTTTGCACTTTTGCCTTGGTTAGCTTTGCCCTGTCCTTGTGCTCCACCCAGCAGCCATGCTTTCTGCATCCTGTGACCTCAGTTGCTGTTTCTAGATCTTGGTGGCGGGGTTGACCACAGGAACCCACCCCAAGCAAGTGGCAGTTGACCTGCTAAGAGCAGGCCTTCTCCACCCTCTTGGCTAGCCTGACACTGGCTGTCAATTCCAGATAGGCCTGTCTCTCTGTCCATCTTTATCACATTCAGGATTCTCCTGACCCCACTGATCCACACAAGAGTAATGGGCAGCGCCACATCTAGGGTCTGTCTCTGGGTTCCCTCTCTGGGTCCTGAGGCGCTCCTTTATCAAGCAGAGCATCTTATGCGTGGCCCCCTCTGAGAATGTCTGCTCCCAGAAGCTGCAGCTCAGCCACCAGCCACAGCTTCCAAGGGAGCTGTGTTGTGCATGGTGTTCCTCTCTGCTGTGCCTCTCCTTGCTTAGAACAACCTCTGAGAAGTGGGGCCCAGCAGGCCAGCCAAAGGAGAGGTGTTTGCTGCTGAAATTTTGGGTGTTCCTTCCACTTGCCCCAAGCAAGAATTCTCACAGAAGCCATGTAAGCCTTGTTGAAAATGTTCTGGTGTGGGTGGCTTTCATGGCACAAAGTCAGTGGCCTGTCATTTTGCCTAAGCCCCAGGAGGCAGCCTGAGTCCAGTCCCAACACTTAGTTTTCCTTCCGTCCCTTTGTCCTTGCTTTGCTGCCTCCTGCGTTATCTATTTTATTGATCGGCCCTCCAAGGAACCTGCTTCGCAAGGAATCAATACGTATCCATCGATGTCTTTCTTCTCTTCTACTTTTATCTTACCTCCTCCTGCTTAAAGTTTTTTTTCTTCCTTCTTTGTGGACTGAGAATTGAAGGCCTCATTTTGCTAGCTCTCTCCTGTTTGGTAACCGAGGTGCTGAGGGTTGGAAGCTTTCCTCTGAGGACCACCTAGTCCTATCCCACTGGCTACAATAATGCAGAGTTTTGTTAAATGACAGACACTAGACTAAATTTTTTTTCTTCTCCTTGAGTCAAGTTGTTTGAGAGATTGGAGTTCTCAGCTTAGGGGAGAGGGCCTTTTTTGGTAGTGAAGATTGAACCAGTGTCCTCAGCTATTTTTTGTGTGTGTGTGTGTGTGGTGGGGGGGGAGGAGGGGGTTGTCGGTTGTGGGGCTTGAACTCTGGGCCTGAGCGCTGATCCTCAGCTCTTAAGCTCAAGGCTAGCGCTCTACCACTTGAGCCACAGCGCCACTTCCAGTTTTCTGGTGGTTTTATTGGAGATAAGAGTCTCACGGGCTTTCCTGCCCAGGCTGGCTTTGAACTGCAGTCCTCAGATCTTAGCCTCCTGAGTAGCTAGGATTACAGGCATGAGCCACTGGCCCCCCAGCCCCTTCAGCTGTTTTTGAGACCTGGTCACACTGTGTAGTCCAGGCTGACCTGGAACTCACCATCATCTTTCCTGTTCAGTGTTTCTCGCCCTTGAGAATACCTCAGGCAGAGCCTCAGGTTGCCTGCAAACTTGTGTTCAGAGGTCCAGCATTAGGGGGAATCTTTCTGTTATCTTGAGGTCACCTATCTGATATTTGCAGCACTGATAGCAGGGCAGCTTCTGTAGCTGGCAGCCATGTTTCCCTCAGTTATTATTTATGGGCTTGATAGACCCTCATACTTGGTCAGTTTCTGTGTATTAGGGAGGCCTTCAGGCTGGGGTTTCTTCTCTGAAGACTTAGCAGGGACCTGACCTCTGTCACCCTGGATGCTCCAAGAGTGATTGCAGCCTCTTCCTTCTCTTCTCCTCCCCAGCCCCAACCTCCAGGTATTCTTGCTCAGGCTGAGGGACCCACTGGCCCAAGTATAGATGTCGGTATTTGGGAGGCAAAGGGTTATGAATTCAAGACCAGCATAGGTATGTAATGAGAACTTACTTTAAAAAGGAAAAGGAATTGTACAGATGGAGAATCAGCTTTGTGTGGTAACACAAAGGGGCAGAAAAACGAGCGAGAGGCTGGGTAGGAGTATGTCCTCACCCCTGACAGCACTTCTCTCTGAACTGAGATACACAGCAATTAACAATTGCCCTGCCTAAAAGGTCACAAGCAGGCCTCCCCGGATTCATGCTAAATTCAAGCTATATTTCCAGGAGGCCAGAAATAGGTCCCCGAGGAGACAGACCAGGTGGTAGACCAGCATTCTAGATCCTCCAGATTATAATTAAGGACTGGAGACATAGCTTAAGTGGTAGAATGCTAGCCATGAGTGAGAAAGCTAAGCCAGAGCCCAAGGTCCTGAATTCCAGATATCCTCCCTGTCCCTCACTCCCCTCCCCTATTAAAAAAAAGAGAAGAAAAGAAAAGAAACTTGGAATTCAGTGCTGTTGGCCCAAGCATATAATCAATCCTAGCTATTCGGGAAACTTGAGACCTGGAAAGGATCAGAGTTTGAGGCTAGCCCCCACAGAAAAGTTCAAGAGATTCCATCTCCAGTTACCAGTAAAAAGCAGGGTGGAAGGTATGGCTCAAGTGGTAAAAGCACTAGCTGTGAGCAAGCAAGCTAATCCCCAAAGCATGAGGCCCTTAGTACTGGGCCCCCAAAAATAGAGATTGAGGGCCAGGAATGTGGCTTAGCAGTAGAGACTTGCCTAGTATGCATGAAGCCCTGGGTTCAATTCCTCAGCACCACATGAACAGAAAAGGCCAGAAGTGGCACTGTGGCTCAAGTAGTAGAGTGCTAGCCTTGAGCAAAAGAAGCTCTGGGACAGTACCCAGGCCCTGAGTTCAAGCCCCAGTATTGGCAAAAAAAAATTGAAGAGGAGGCAGTAAAATTGCTGCTAGGCACAGAGACTATTGCTGCTCTGAAGTCACACTGAGCACCAGCTAACAGTTGATGCTGAGGAATTGTTCAGTTCTGAGTGTGGTCCTGGAATAAGAAGGTGGTGATCATAATCTTCCTTAGTACACATGGGGTAGTTCCAGGAGCTCCACAGATAACAATGCCCAAACCCCTCGTGCAGCCTGGCCTCACATTTACCCAGATCCTGCACACCTCCCATAGGCTTAATACCTGGTGTATGTTCACACTCTATATACAGTTGTAGTACTACATCAGTGGGAACAAGAGTCAGAAGAAATATCTGTCTGTGCTCAGTGCAGATAGAGGTGTTTTTGAGTATTTTCCATGCCAGCTTGGCCGATGCCCCAATGAGGAGCCTTAGAATATTGAGGGTGGCTGTGTTCTGTCTTTGCGAAATACCTCTGATGCAAAGATCACTGGCCACACAGAGCTTTTCCACTAGTTTAAACCGTGTAAAACTGGAGGTTCTTTCCCTGGTCCCGCTGGCCATCTGTGAAGCTTTTCATAGCTTCATGTGTCTGCAGGTGGAAATTTGTTGTCATGGCATGTTCTTTTGGAGACATGGTTGTTACCTCTGAATGAAATGAATGACAGAGGCCAGTTAGGGCCTCTGTCTTAGATCACACGTGAGATGGGGCACAGAGTGCTCAGGTATGCGAGGATGTCAAGGTGATATCCCTGAAGATGTGCAGATGTGCAGACCGTGTGGCAGGAGGCACGGGTCCCAATTCATATGAGGGAGAGAAGAGAGAAATGAAGTCAGTTTGGTCTTCACCCTAAGGGCCGTGGGCGCTATGAGCAGGTGTTGGAGGGAGGGAGGACAACCAGGTTTTGTTTCAGTCAAGCTACCTGAGGCCCTTGCTGCATGCAGGTTGTGTCAGACTGTTTTGAGACCATACGAATGAGGAGTGATGAACCTCCTGGGGGTTTCACCTGAGCCCCTGGTACTGCAGTGTAAGGATTAATGAGCTAGCAGCCCTCATTTACACTGGCCACCCATCCTCACAGTGAGTGGGTGGAGAGCAGAGACCTCCTTTCCACCATGGTGGCTGAGGAACTGCAGGCACGGCGGGCCTGGACTCTGTGCCAGGAAAACTTGTTTTACAAACATGATCAAACAAGGGGAGACTTGGTTCAGTGACGAAGGATTGCCAAGCTCTGAAGGAGAATGGGAATGGGCACATAAGCCACAGGGCCCTAACCAGATTGGTGGAGACTTGAGTAAGCCCCTCCCTCCCTGATACCAAGCCAGAGTGGCCAAGGCTTCTCTGCCGTGCATGGAGCTATTACAGCTCCCTGGGCAGTGGGTGCTCCAGCCTCCTCGTTGGCTGAGATTGGGCAGATGTGGGCAAGGCCCATTGCCTCCTGTGTGCACCCTGGCCCTTGCCCAGCCTCACTCTTCCATACTGCACCTCCAGTGTAAAGAAAAGGAATCATAAAAATTACACCCCTATGGCAACTTCTTATTCTATTAGTATGTTTTAATTAGTAGACAAGTACGTGCTATTATGAATATTCATGATTGGGTTATTAAAATGCATAATTAATCAGTGGGAGAATTTTAATAACTATTAATGGTGTGGGGGAGGGGCCTTGCTATTTTTGTTCTTTCTAGTAAGGGAGGGCCAAGGGCCAATCCAGGGGGCTCCAGGAAAGGCAGAGTAGAACTCCATTCTGTTTGGGGCCATCTGGGAACTCCATTCTGTTTGGGGCCATCATTGCCAGGCCCCTTGGGTGCTGAGTTTGAATGCTGTTCAGTCATGCCCTGCCAGCTGTCTTGGGGAGGAGTACCATAATTTGCCACTTGAGGGTCCTGGTGCCTCTGGAGGTACATCATTGGTGTCCATGGGGTGGGAGCCCATCTGGGTGTGGGTGGGGGTGTCAGCCAGTGGGATGGGAGGGGGCACAGGCAGGCCCAAGGTGCTCGGCCCACCAACTACTACCTTATTAGGACCCCAGGTAAGGTCCAGATACCCTAGGCTAGGTGACATGTGACAGAGGTATTCACAGAGCCCATGAGACCACTTCCCATTTACTCCCCTTCCCTCCCGCCCCCCCCCCAACAACATGCCAAGGCAACATCCTAGCCCCAAACCCAAAATCACATTGGAAAATTTTGATTTAGAAACAAAAATCTAAATGATGCACGAATATTCATTGGGTTGAGATTAATATGCATAATTATGCAAATTAGACAGCAATTAAACACCAGTTCTCCAGGGAGAATGATTAACACAAAGGCACGGAAATAGAAAGATGTGATTTGAAAGAAGTTTCTGGTGTGGGGAGCAGGGGAGGGAGAGTGGAGGGCGGTGCGGGAGCCACTGGTGTGCAGTGCAAGGGGGTGGTGCCGCCCGGGCCTCCAGTTGGACTGGGTCATGGCCACACACACAGATGGGAAACTGAGTCGCAAGCCACCCATGTGGCCAGGTAGGGGTACTCTGCTCCTTTTCCAAGAGCTGAGCTCTAGCTCTCTCTGGGATAGGACACCTGGCCCCGCGCAGGCTGCCTGTGAACTACATTCTGGAGTCCTGGGTAGTTTCCTGTATGCATGGTGGGGGAGATAAAGAGCCCCACCCTGCCTTGCCCTGCCTCTCAGGACAAGGTCCTTATCCCCCGGCGGGTTAACCCCTGCCATACTGCAGGCCCTGGTCTCAAGGCTAAGCTACAGGAGCAGCCTGAGATCCCTCCATGTGCTCCCCTCCAAGCAGGCCCTGTCTCTTGCCGCCAGCCTCCCACCTAGTGGGCAGTCCTCAGTGTTGTCTTTGTGTCAACAGTGCCCCCACTTTCCCATATGTTGAGGCCCCAGTAAGCCATCTCAAAAGGTTAGAAGAGAGCATACCTGACACAAAACTGGTCAGAGTAGGCTGGGAAAGTGGCTCAGTGGTAGAGAGCTTGCCTTGTATTCATGAGGCCCTGAGTTTGATTCATCAGCACCACATAAGCAGAAAAAGCCAGAAGTGGCACTGTGGCTCAAGTAGTAGAGCTGAAGAGCTGAGGGACAGCGCCTAGCCCCAGAGTTCAGGCCCCACGACCTGGTCAGAGTAAAGCCTGAGGAATCTACCCAGAGTGGTCACAGTGGCTGGGGCTTTGACAAGAGGGCAGGAGTTTGGTAGCAGAGTCAACGGGCACAGGTGTTACTGAGCTGCAGACTGGTATGGGCACTGAGTCCTATGTGCCCAGGACCTTGACATTGTTGCTGGTATTGACACTGGCTGTGGCACTGACACTGGCTAGCTCACGTGCAGCTGGGCCGGCAAGGGTTTATACGCTCTTCTGAACTTAGCAAGCTTCTCCCCAGACTGAGATGCGAATTGAAGCTAGTTATGGACTGAGAGACCTTGATTCTCCTTCCTGCTTCTCAGGTCTTGAGGACCGGCCCAGCTCTGGCTCCTGGAACACCAATGACCAGAACAATCCCTCCTTCGACCCCAGCAGGGTGAGAAGCCCCTGCAAGGCCTGACACCCTAGGCGCCCCCTTGGGCAGGGAATGAGAAAACTCGGGTTCAAGGGGGACTGGCTACATTTGCCAGGTACCCTGTTGTGTGGGGTGGCCCCGTTGCCTGGAGACCCCCACCCTCACCAGACCCATATCCTGTAGACCTACAGCGAAGGCGCCCACTTCAGCGACTCCCACAGCAGCCTCTCTTCGTCAACATTCCTGGGCCCTGGGCTTGGAGGTGAGTGCACTTAAGTGCTGAGGCAGATGGACAGCACTCCCTGCCTGGGCGTGAGTTCTTACCCACCCTGCCTGGGCGCTGCTCTGCAGGTCCTCTTCAGCCTGTTTCCCACCTATAGGTTAGAGTCTGCCAGAACCTTTAAGGTGGGAGGCGGTGAGGCTCCCTCTGCTCGCCAGCCCCACTGAGGCCTCTCTTTCTCAGTTAGAGTAGCTGACACAAGGGGCTGCCCTTCCACTTGGGACCATGGAGTTGGAGGGTAGGCTGCAGAAATACCAAGATGTGTATCTGGGTCTGAGCGCTGAGTGTGAACCAGGGAGCTTAGTATTAATGGCCAGTGGGGAAACGGCGGGCTCTGAGAGTGCAGTGCTTTCCCTGGGCTGACATGACAGGCAGCCTTGTCTTGAAAGCATGGGTCCAACTGAACAGTGAGTCTTGGGGATGTAAGGTGCAGCTGAGCACCCACCACCGAGAGCCCAAGCCCCATTTCCTAGAGAGGAAGGTAAGGGTTGCCCTCAGCCTGGGTGGCCGGCACAGCTGTTGAGAGGCACACTGGGTTCCCCTCTTGTGCTTCCTTCCGCTGGCCGCTCCCTCGGGCATCCTGTTTCATGAGGGTCGCAGAGCTGCTGGGCTGATCCCATTCAGGTGGCTTGAGGTCAGCAGAATCCTAAGCCCAGCTAAGTCTTGCCTCGCCTACCTACCCCAGTCCCTACAGCTACAAGTGACTTCAACCCCCATGTTCTCCCAGCAGAATGGAGTCGGCCATGGTGTATGGGACACTGGGGGGGTCTCCCTCATCCCCACTGCCCCAGGGTCACTGTGGTGCACCCAGAGAGAGTGGACACCGGGCCCCAGCAGCCCTTGTTTGAGAAATCTTAACTGTAGTTACTCTCAAACTGGGAGCTAGGTAGGGAGGTGCACACGTCACCCCGGCACTCAGGAGTCAGGAGGATCATGGTTCCATGGCAAGACCTGCCACCAAAAAAAGACAAGAAACTTGTGGTTTGAACTCAGGACAAGGACGCTTTCCTTTAGCCTTATCACCGACAGTCTACCACTTGAGCCACAGCTCCTTTGTGAGCTTTGCCTAGGCTGGCTTGGAACTATGATCCTCAGATCTCAGCCTCCTGAGTAACTAGGATTACAGGCATGAGCCACCAACGTGCGTGGCCCATCTCTCTGTTTCATGCTGTTACTGGGGTTGAACTCAGGGCCTTGTACTCTAACTCAGCTTTTTCATTCATAGCTTATGCTCTACTACTTGAACCACTCTTAGTTCCTCACTTGTCCCTCCTTACCAACTGGTTGGAATCAGTATTGCTGGGCTGTACTCATGGCTCACCACAGCTTGGGTGTGGGTTTTCAAGCTGACCCTGATTTATGTAAGGCTGAGCTGTTTTGTTGCCCTGTTGTGCAAGCCATGAGCTGGGCAGGATAGGCTGCTTGCTGTAAATCTGGGAAGCTGAGCCCTGGGCCTCACAGGCTCACAATTCCCCTGCTGGGGACCTCACCCTCCACCCCAGGCTCACCCTTGGAGCAGATTGGGTGCTATATAAGCCCAGCGCCTCCAGAAACTTCAGCCCAGGAAGGGCCAGGGTTATCCAAGGTCAGTCACCTCAGCAAGCTCCAGGTTGACTTAGACCACACTCAGCTGGGAAACCCATCCTTGTCTGCCTGTCTGCAAGGGCCTGCTGCATACAGGCATGTGCAAGGGCCTGGTTGGACCCTTCTTAGGGTGTGCTCCAGTGCTTTCTTGCATCCCTCCAGGCAAGGGCGGTGAGCGGAATGCCTATGCCACCTTTGGGAGAGACTCGGGGGTCGGTGGTCTGACTCAGGTGAGTGGTTGTGGGGCACCTGTAGCCTCTGCAGTGGTGGGAGTGTGGGGTAATCTCCAGCATGATCATTCGGGTCAGTCTGTGCTTACTTCCCACCCCAAGAGGCCACCAGGGTTAGTGACCAGCCTCAGTGGCCAGTCTCCTGGTCTCAGGCGCTGTTCCAATAGCTCCCTCTATGTGCACTGTACCTGAGCCAGAGGAGTAGCAGCTGCTCCTGTTATATCAGTGGGTATAAAGGCGCCCACATTTCCCTAGGAGCAGCAGGTTCAGGATTCGAAGAGGACCCAGGACCTCCTCGAAGGCCACCCATGATATTAGTAAAACTCGGTTCTGGGTCTCACAGCCCCAGGCTCTTGCTGCTCACTGAGTCCCTCCAGGCTCAGGTTCAGCTGAGAACAGAGTCTGCCCACAGGATGGCACAGCAGCCCAGGACAGACCTCAGTGGCCAGGAAGAAAACCTAGTCCCTGTCGGCTCCCTGCCAGCACAGGCATGGGTTAGGAGAAAGGCCTGGACGAAGCAGCGGCTTTCACTGCCCTAAAGGCACCTGCACACACTAGTGCCCAGTGCATGTGTTCCCGGCTGGCAGCCACTTCCGCTGGGCTTCCTCTCGAGGAAGTGCCGGGCTGCTGCAACGCAGTTAGAACAAAAGCAGGGCAGATGTCCTGCAAGTAAGAGCCCTGTGCCCCAAGGGCCACAATTGACCTGTGTGTCCCAGTGACATTGACCTCTGTAGTTGGTTGGTGGGTTTTAGGAGTGCTGCCTGGGGGCTGGACACCAGCCAAGCCCAGCATTCTGTCCCTTTCCCCTTCAGGGTGGCTTCCTCCCAAGTGAGCTGGGCCTCAGCAGCCCTGGGGGGGCACTGTCCCCCTGTGGCATCAAGGGCAGCTCCCAGTGTTACTCCTCGTACTCCAGCAACCCTCGGCGGAGAGCTGCGGACAGCACTCTGGGTGAGTCCGGAGAGGGACAGAGGAGGCTGTGAGGGAACAGGTGCCTTCCCATAGTCCACCTCCCAGGTCCTGTCGGACTCCAAACCAGGGCAGAGGGAGAGACTGCAAACCAGAAAGGGCAAATATAGCAGAGCTTCATGGTTCAGACAGTTCTGGTTCCCAGAGTCCGCATAAAAACCAAGCTGTTGGTCCCAGGAGCCTCTGGTCACATGGCTGTGGACTGACACACTCTGGTTTTCACACATTTCTGTTTAGATGCACTTGATTTTCACTGTCCTGTTCCCCTGAACGGCGCTCAGCTGCCCAGCTGGGGTTCGGCCCTTCAGAACTATGTTTGGGCATTTTGAACAACCAAGTGGCCAAAGGGAAAGAAAGCACAGAGGTGACAAGCTCCCCACAGACCGGAGCAGCATGAGGTGGCCGGGGGTGGCACAGCTCTGCTGCCCTGTGGGTTGGGGACTGGATTTCCACATGCCCTCTGAACCCTGAGGCCAGGTGGTTGAGATGGCATTGGCTAGCACTGTCTTCCAAGAAGGGAGGCCCAAGTATTGAGTACCTCATCTTGATGTAAGAAACTTACCTCCTGACTCCTCAGTACTTACTTGCACTTGGTGACCCTCAGAGGTCAGTGGTACTCCTTAGTGGGAGTTTCAAGGCTCTCTGGTATGTAGTGAGACTGCTTCTGCAGCCCGCCTCCCTCCAGCAGAGTCCCCAGAGCACAGGGCACTGGCCATACCAGGGCAGGTAGGGAGGGTAGTGACACCACTAACGGCTCTCACTTCTAATAGACACACAGCCCAAGAAGGTCCGGAAGGTTCCGCCTGGTCTTCCCTCCTCGGTGAGTGGTGGGATGGGGACTGCCTCTCGTGCCCTGAGGATACTAGACTGGTGGGTTTGGGGGGCACTCCTCACAGGCTCTGTGTGGACAGGAGTCCAGGAAAATCCTTCAGGCCAGCAAGCTAGGCCAGGCAGGTCCTGGTGGGGGACTGTGGTCTCCTGGTCCCCACTTCCCCACTCACTGCTTGGTAGTTGGCCGGCTGCCAGGCCCAGCAGATGGTGCTGAGCCCTCGGCTTGCAGCACCGCACTCCTACGATTTAATCGCACTGGAAGAAAAGACAATTTGGTAGATTTCCCAGCTGCTCAACACCACCCTGGCCCCCACACTGGCCACCAGAAGGCTCTAGGCCCACTAGCCAGCCACGTGCACCCTAGGGCTGGCCATACTCATAAGGAACCTTGGGGGAGATTCACTTGGGGAGGTATCACTGGGCTGGGGCTGGGTTTGGAGTTAGGTGATGGGTCAAGGGACACAATCAGGCCTACAGGAGGGACTCATGTACAAGTCATCCAGCATGAAGACTGGGGTCAGGAAACTTACATGGCCCTGGAGGAGAGGTAGAGCTGAGAGCCCCCAGCTGACATTCGCCACCTCTCCACTTTGTCAGAGCAGGCAGCAGCAGCAGAACCTTACTCTGCCCTGTTAGGTCCAGTTCTTTGCCAGGACAGGCATTAGCAGTGGATCCCCACACTGTCCTGTCAGGCACAGCCTGTTTACAGGCAGCACCAGCTGGTCAGAACTGGTGCTGACTGTGGGCCTCCATGTGCTGTAGCTGCTCTGAGGCTTATGTCTAAGCAGGATCTCAAGGGAGGTCCCACACTGGTGAATTCTAAACAGAAACAACCAAAGGCATTGGAACTAGGACTTGAGGTCAATAGGTTTGCTGGATGAAGAAAGGATAAGGCACTTGTGGGCAAGGCCAGTCTCAGATGTAGGAAGCTAGAATTTGATGGGCAGGAAGCAGGAGATCAGAGTACAAAAAGGTGTGGTAGCCAGGTCCTGGTGGCTTACACCTGTAATCCTGGCTACTCAGGAGGCTGAGATCTAAGGATTGCAGGTCAAAGCCAGCCTCGGCAGGAAAGGCCATGAGACTCTTATCTCCAATTAACCACCAGAAAACAGGAAGTGGAGCTGTTACTCAAAGTGGTAGAGTGCTAGCTAGCCTTGAAAAGAGTTCAGGGACAGCACCTGGGCCCTGAGCAAGTCCCACAACTGACAAAAAAAAAGGTAGAGAGGAAATGAGGATGCCATCAGCACTGTAGTCTAGAGCTGGGAGGTGGCCGAGGCAGGGTTGCATGGGAAAGAACAGGGAAAGCATGGGGACCATGGTCCATGTGTCCTTACCCCTACTGCATCATCTCCTGCTATTCAGGTATACCCACCCAGCTCAGGTGACGACTACAGCAGAGACGCCGCCTACCCCTCAGCCAAGACCACTGGCAGTGCCTACCCAGCCCCCTTCTATGTGGCAGGTAGGTGGGACTCACTAGGTGTGGGGGTTCGGTGAGGTCCTCCACCCCCACTCACTGTCCCACTTTGTGCAGATGGCAGTGTTCACCCCTCCGCGGAGCTCTGGAGTGCCCCTGGCCAGGCAGGCTTCGGGCCCATGTTGGGTGGCTCATCCCCCCTGCCCCTGGTGCCCGGCAGCAGCTCTGCGAGCGGTAGTGGCAGCTTTGGTAGCCTGCACCAGCACGAACGCATGGTAGGTCCTGGGCAGCAGCCAGGGGGCGGCAGGCTGCACAGCTCCCAGTTGGCCCTCTGCCGATCCTTACCTCTCCCCCTCCCCCATCTCACTTCAGGGCTACCAGCTGCATGGAGGAGAAGTCAACGGTGGGCTCCCAGCTGTGTCCAGCTTTCCATCGGCCCCCAGTGCCTATGGTAGCACCTCCAGCCACACACCGCCTGGCAGTGACAGCCTCTTGGGTATGGCCACTCCTGGGACACAGGGGCACTCAGTAGGAGCCCATGGAGACAGCATGTCATCATCACGTCCTGCCATGGGCTCCATCCCTGTCTAGCCACCCTGGTGTGCTGGCCTGTGATGTCACGGAAACAGCCCGTTGGGCTTCCCACTCCACAGGTGGACGGGGTATAGAGGAGATCTTGTTCAACCCGGCCCGCCCCCACAAGTAGTGTCGGGTAGAACCCAGCAGCAGTCCCAGCTCCCTGGTCTCCAGGAGGGTGGGAGGATGTCAGGCCAGGCATGGACCAGGCTGTACTTCTTCCCCAGGCCCCCGAGGGACCACAGCCGGCAGCTCCGGGGACGCCCTTGGGAAGGCACTGGCCTCGGTAAGCAGGGCCCTGGGCAGGGATGGGTGGAGATAGGCAGCAATCCCCTTGGTATTCCTGACTCCCTGTGTGTGTAATCTGCCACTGCAGATCTACTCTCCAGACCACTCCAGCAATAACTTCTCGCCTAGCCCCTCAACACCTGTGGGCTCTCCTCAGGGCCTGGCAGGTATGTAGCGGTCACAGGGCTGTGCCCAGGCTTGGGTGGTAGACAGGCTTAGAGGACTCTGGGAGTAGGGCAGACAGAGCTTGCTATGGGCTCATGTTCTCTTGCATTTCTGGAGACTTCCTTGGGGAGGCAGCACTAGCCAGATAAAAGTAGAGTCCCGCCAGGTTAAGACAGTGCAAACAAAGACTGGGAGACAGGACCCACAGCTCACACTGCAGGAGCCATGAGGTTCATGTAAGGACAGATGTCCCCCCTCCCCTAATGTGTACTTGTCATCATTGCCTACCTGGCTGGTAATAGTATCAGGCCTGTGGCCTATACTGACCAAAGGGTAGATCATCTGGTCTCTGCTGAGTAGAGATGCAGACCTGGGGGCAAAGAGAAGTAGAAAACAAGGTTTTTGGAAGACTTCGACTTGATGGATTAAAAATACACCCCCTGCACGCCCCCCTCTCCCACGCCCCCCGCCCCAAGCCAGGCGCAAATGGCTCACACCTGCATGCCTATAATCCTAGCTACTGAGGAGCCTGAGGTCTGAGGATCGCAGTTTGAAGCCAGTCCAGACAGGAAAATCTGTTAAGACTTCTTTCCAATGAGCTGGACATGGAGATGTCACTCAAGTGGTAGAGCACCAGCCTTGAGCAAAAAATCTCAGGGATGTTGCCCAGGCTCTGAGTTCAAGCCCTAGTACTAGTACGAGAATAAAATATCCCTAGTTCCTGCTTATCCCTGGCCTTTTGGGGACCCCCAGAGCAGTTGCATGTGGCAGAGCAGGACAGAAGGGAATTAAAGCCCAGAACCAAACCTGTCCCTGGGCTCCCCAGGGAACAGGCAGAACTCGTCTGAAGCTAGGTGGAGAGTGGCTTTCCAGTTCAGGGGTGCTAAGTGGCCCTTTGAGGGTATCCAGCCATTTGTGCGTTTTCATGTGCCCACCTTGCCTGTCTTGTTTCATGTGCCACCTCCCTTCAGGGACATCACAGTGGCCCCGTGCAGGAGGCCCTGGTGCCTTATCGCCCAGCTACGATGGCGGTCTCCATGGCCTGGTGAGTGTCCTACAAGCATGTGTCCTATGGCCAATAAGGCCAGCGGGCAAGTGCCCCTTGATAAGAAGACAGACTGAGGCTAGACCTTCTCAAAAGTGAGGTCCATGGCAGGTGACACATGGCTGAGCCTCCTGAAGCACATGGTTTCTGGAGGGGCCCGGGGAGGTGGGGGCCAGCTGCTGCTCGTGTGCAAATCAGTGTTTTGGCTTGGTTTGGGGTTTTGGTTTTCTTTTTGCAGTGCTGGGGGCAAATTCATGGCCTTATGCCACTGAGTCATGGCCAGCCCGGAATGTGTGCATGTGTGCTTTCTAGTCCCTGTGGCTAGGCCCCTCACTGCCCACTCATATCAACCCCACAGCAGAGCAAGATGGAAGACCACCTAGACGAGGCCATCCATGTACTCCGCAGCCACGCTGTGGGTACAGCTGGTGACATACATGGGCTATTACCCAGCCACGGAACCCTGGCCACAGGCTTCACAGGCCCCATGTCATTGGGTGGGCGGCACACTGGCCTGGTAAGCATTGGTTCAGGGGTGGGCGGGGCTGGGTGGAAGGTGGGACCTCTGTGTTCCTTGACCTGTCCCTACCACTGTGCAGGTTGGGGGCAACCACTCTGAGGATGGTCTTGTAGGCAATGCCAGCCTCTTGCACAACCATGCAGCCCTCCCCAGCCAGCCTGGAGCCCTCCCTGACCTTTCCCGGCCACCTGACTCATACAGTGGTAAGTCCTTGCCATCTGTCCCATTGTTACTAGGGGACTCGGGACTATCCGAGCACCGGTTCCTTCCAAGACAAGGGCTGTGACCACCTGCCAAACCCATGGCCTCTGGGGCCAGCTGTGGGGTGGGAGGCTCTGGATACTAGCAGTTTGGTAGGAACTGGTCCCATGGGGAGGGAACCCAGGGCAGGTGCCAGCCACAAAAAAGATTCTCAGAGACTTAAATCCCTCGGGAGCACCTTGGGGCCTGCTGACTACAGGCATCCTTCATTGAGTCTCTTAGACACATATAAGGTACCCACTGTGTACTTGGCACTGTTGTCACCACTGGTGACTGAAACATTGGCACAGTGGCACCCCCTTCTAGCGGTTACAGGACAGGTGTCAGGAAAAGGATGGGGTGGGGGCGTCAGGCCTACGCTCTTTCAGGCTCCTCAGCAGAGCCTTGGGAGGAGAAAGTAGGCAAGTACCATGGGAGGCAACCTAGGTAAGACACTCAGGACCTGGACAGGAGTATCTAGACAACCTGTATGGCTAGACCGAGGAAGAACAGGAGGCAGGAAGGGAACAAGGCTTTGGGGCTACCCGGAGGATTTGGAAGCCTGTGAGCTGGTCTGTCTGTACTCAAGGGCGCCATCTGGTGGATGTGATCTGATGCTGGGGACTTGGTGGTTGTCCTCCTGGCTTGTAAAACTACTGGTATGGAGTGGGTGGGGGCCAGGGTGCTGGTACTGATCAGTACACTGAATCCTAGAGGTCCTGACCCCTGGTATCAGCAGTGGCTGTCTTCCACAGGCATCAGGTCTTTCCTTTTTTCACCTTTTTTTTTTTGATCGGTCATGAGGCTTGAACTCTGGGCTTGGGCGCTGTCTGCACTCTTCAGCTCAAAGCAAGCACTCTACCACTTGAGCCACAGCACCACTTCCGGTTTTCTAGTGGTTTTTATTGGAACTAAGAGTCTCAGGGCTGGGAAGGTGGCTCAGTGGTAGAGGGCTTGCCTTGCATGCATGAGGCCCTGGGTTCGATTCCTCAGCACCACATAAGCAGAAAAAGCCAGAAGTGGCGCTGTAGCTCAAGTGGCAGAGCGCTAGCCTTGAGCTGAAGAGCTGAGGGACAGCGTCCAGGCCCAGAGTTCAGGCCTCACAACCTGACCCCAAAAAAAAAAAGAAAAGAAAAAGAGTCTAACAGACTTTCCTGCCCAGGTTGGCTTTGAACTGCGATCCTCAGATCTCAGCCTCCTGAGTAGCTAGGATTACAGGTGTGAGCCACTGGTGCCCAGTCTTTTTCACTTTTTTTTTTTTGGTCGGCCGTGGGGCTTGAACTCTGGGCCTGGGCGCTGTCCCTCAGCTCTTCAGCTCAAGGCGAGCGCTCTACCACTTGAGCTACAGCGCCACTTCCAGTTTTCTGGTGGTTTATTGGAGATAAGAGTCTCATGGTCTCTCCTGCCCAGGCTGGCTTTGAACCGCGATCCTCAGATCTCAGCCTCCTGAGTAGCTGGGATTACAGGCGTGAGCCACCAACGCCTTTTTTCACTCTTATTGTTGAATCCCAGGCAGGTTTCAGACTCAACACTTTGCCCACTGCATTTGAGTTCCATGTGACTGAGAAACCCCAAACTGCTTTTGCCTTTCTAGGTTTGTGGGAGGGTTGTCAGCACTAGGGATGGAACTCAGCTTAGGTAGGTACTCTACCAGTTGAGCCCTATCCTTTGGTTTAGTTTGTTTTTTTTTTTTAATAGGGTCTCAAGTTTTGGCCTAGGCTGGCCTCAATCATCCTATCTACCCATACAGCTGGGATTCCAGACTTACTCTACCTTGCCTGGCTTGTTGAGGTGGGGTTACCCTGACTTTTTGCCCTAGCAAGCCTTGCACTATCGTTCTCAAAGTTTGCACCTACCAAGTAGCTTGGATTACAGGCATGAGCTACTGTTCCCAGCTTTTTTGGAAGCAAAATTAAATATATATAAACAATATATAATATATGTTTGCTATACTGGGTTGGAACTCAAGAGCTTCATACTTGCTAAACTAGTACTCTACCACTAGAGCCATGCCTCCTGACTCCTATTAGGTTTGGTAAATTTTTTGTGAGGGATTCATTACTTTTATTGATTGATTTTTATTTGTGGGGCTTGAACTCTGGGCCTGTGTGCTGTCCCTCAGCTCTTCACCCCAAGGCTAACGCTCTACTACTTGAGCCACAGTCCCACTTCCGGCTTCTTTCTTTTTGCTTATGTGGTGCTGAGGAATCGAACCCAGGGCCTCAGGCATGCAAGGCAAGCGCTCTACCACTGAGCCACTTTCCCAGCCCTAAATTTATTTTTGTGTGCGTGCCAATACTAGAATTTAGGTGCTCACACTCTTAGCTTTCTTGCTGACAGTGTGGCTTTACCACTTGAGCCACACCTCCAGCCCTGATTTTTGCTGGTTGATTAGATATGGAGGGAGTCTCAGACTTTTTTTGTCTGGGCCAGCTTTCAACTGTGTGAGACATCACAGCCTCTAAGATGACAGTGGTATGAGCCACCAACATCCAGAAAGGTCACAGTTTGCCCCAGCCATCCTAGATATTGATTCTCCTATTTATAGTTTTACATAGATGCATACCACTGCTCCTAGCTTTTTTCTGCTAAGGTGGGATCTAGTGAACCTTTTTCTTGGGTTAGCCTGTAATTCTCCTGATCATATCCTCGGATTAAAGGTGTGAGCCACCACACGTGGCTTTCTTTTGGCTTTTTGTCATGGGGTCTTGCTGTGTAACCCACATTGGTATCGTTGAGCTCAGCTCCCCTTCCCTAAGCCTCCCCAGTGTTGGGGCTTATCCCATTTTGAGCTTTATGCAAATGACACCCTGAAGCCAAATGTTCTTCTCCTGGCTTCTTGCACCATGTGAGATGTGCTCATGTCCAGTAGCTGCACTTGGGTGTCCTGTTGTGGAAGTGACATGTGTTCCCTAGGTGCCTTTTCTGTGGCTGAGTGTGCTCTCCTGTGCCTCCTGGCACACACCCATGAGTCTAGTGTGGTCCAAGGCTGCGAGCCAGGCCCACGTTGTCTTTCTTCAGTCTTTGTGTGGTGCTCTGCCTGGTGGCCTCAGGGGTGAGGTAGGTGCCTGGCCGGGTTCTGTGCTACCTGGCTGCTGACCTCCGTGTTCCCTGCCGGTGCTGGAGGCCAGTCCTGTGTTGGTTATGTGGGTACTCCTCAGTGATCAGATTGTCCATTTTGATACTGGTAGGGTCTCTTTTCTTTCTGGAATCAGCTGTTTTGATTTTGATCTGTGCAGCAGCACAGATTAACCCAGCCCTGTGCTATGATGCATGGAAATTACAATGTTCTTTTTTTCTTTTTTTTTCTTTTGTCGGTTGTGGAGCTTGAACTCTTGAGCCTGGGTGCTTGCTGTCCCTGAGCTCTGCAGCTCAAGGCAAGAGTCTACCACTTGAACCATAGTGCCACTTCTGGTTTTCTAATGGTTTATTGGAGATAAGAGTCTCATGGACGGGGCTGGGAAGGTGGCTCAGTGATAGAGGGCTTGCCTTGCATGCATGAGGCCCTGGGTTCGATTCCCCAGCATCACATAAGCAAAAAGAAAAAAAAAGCCGGAAGTGGTGCTGTGGCTCAAGTGGTAGAGCGCTAGCCTTGAGCTGAGGGACAGTGCCTAGGCCCAGAGTTCAGGCCCCACGACCAGACCCCCCCAAAAAAAAGAGTTTCACGGACTTTTCCTTGCCTGGGCTGGCTTTGAACCATGATCCTCAGATCTCAGCCTCCTGAGTAGCTAGATTACAGGCGTGAGCTACCAGAGCCTGGCTTACAATGTTCTTAAATAAACAAGGCTTTCTCCTACAAAACAAGACTTGTTTTGGTTCTTGTTACAGTTTTGTTTTGGAGGATGAACCTCACTGAGACTGTTTGTGTTTTCTTCTTGGTATTTTTGTTTTGTGCCGATCCTGAGGCTTGAACGCAGGGCCTGAGGGGCTGTCCCTGAACTTTTTTGCTCAAGGCTAATGTACTCTACCACTTGAGCCACAGCTCCCCCTCAGCTTTTTGGTGGTTAATTGGCAACAAGAGTCTCATGGACTTTCCTGCCCCGACTGAATTTAGACCATGATTCTTGGTTCTCGGCCTCCAGAGGAGCTAGGATTCACAGGTTTAAGTCACCAGCACCCAACTGGTAATGGTTATATTTGAGACAGTCTTGCTCTCTGGCCCAGACTTGCCTTGAACTCTGATTCTTGTGCTTCTACCTTCCCAGTGTTGGAATCACAGATGTGTACCACTCCCTGGCTTTGTTAATACTTCAGGAAATATCTTCCTGCTTCAGAGTTTACAATAGGATTTCACACATGTTGTTCTTAAAGGCTGTGACATTGTCTACTCTACACCATGTGGTTCTTATTCTATCTGGAATTGGTACTTGTGCATGGTGTGAGGTAGGGATCCTGTTCTGGTTTTCCTGTTGGGTTGTTTTTTATTGTTATTTTTCAACCTTTTCTGCAAATGGAGGCCTGGCTGTGTTCTCAGCTTATGCCCTTACAAGTGGGTCAAAGGAGTTGGTCAGGTAACCTTGGCGGCCTCTGCTGCCCCAGCCACAGCTCCTGATCCCTGGTCTGTTACAGGACTTGGGCGGGTGGGTGCCCCAGCAAGCACCGGGGAGATCAAGCGGGAAGAGAAGGAAGATGAGGAGAACAACTCGGTGGCCGACAACTCTGAGGAGGACAAGAAGGAGCTGAAGGCCTCCCGCACACGGACCAGGTGCCAGCCCCTCCCTGTAGGACACATGCACACCACACTTGGTCCATGCATACCACCCCACACTGGGAGGCCATGGGCCGTGCCCACCCGCACCTCACCATTTCCCTCTGGCCCCTGGCTCCCCTCCTCCATAGCCCAGACGAGGACGAGGACGACCTTCTCCCCCCAGAGCAGAAGGCTGAGCGGGAGAAGGAGCGCCGGGTAGCCAATAATGCCCGTGAGCGGCTGCGGGTCCGAGACATCAATGAGGCGTTTAAGGAGCTGGGCCGCATGTGCCAGCTACACCTCAACAGCGAGAAGCCACAGACCAAACTGCTCATCCTGCACCAGGCCGTGTCGGTCATCCTCAACCTGGAGCAGCAAGTGCGAGGTCAGTGGGCGGCCCGCCGCTCCTGCCCCTGTCCCCGCTCGCCTCCCCTGCACTGACCCACCCCCGCTTCCCAGAGCTGATCTACAGAGATTCCCCCGCAGTCACTGTCCCGCACCCTCACACTGACCTGTTCCTGCAGTGACTGGACCTCCCCACTGACTGCCCCTACACTGGCCACCCCCTCCCCTCATACGGTGTCAATCCTGATCCTTCTGACCAGTGGCTCTCCTAGCTGTCCTTGGTAACCCATCTCTAGAAGGACTGGGCTCTGGACCCTGCCCTGCCGACCTGGGTACTTGGTCTCAGAGCTGAGTTAGGATCCCCAGGCCACTCCCCACGCCCTCAGGAAGCCCAGAGGTGCGAGTTGGTATGTAAGCCACCCTCGCTGTCCACCCTGAGCCCACCCAGCCCCTGACTCCTGATATCGTTTCCCAGTGTTCAGGTGGGTGTGGACTGCCCATTCCCGGGGCAGGTGAGGGTAGATAGCCAGGCCACCACTGGCCCCAGGCCCCATGCACCTGATTCTCCACTGGCTGCTTGCTAACCTCTGCTCCTGCCTGGCCGTTAACCTTTCTTTCCTGCAGCTCTGTCGCTTGCACTGCAGCCGGAGCCCTGGCCCGCTGCCTGTGCAGCTTTGAAGTTCCCGCGTCTCCATGGCCATGTGTGCCTCCTGCCCTGTGTCCCCTAAGCCTGCCTCTCTGCTCTGCCTCTTACGCTGTCCCATCCACCTGGCCGTCCGCTGTCTTGCTCCCCACTGCCTGCCCCCAGCCCCTCCTTACCTCGCACTTGCTGCCCAAAGCGGATGGCCGCACCTCAAAGCCAGCCAGAAGGCTTGGAGGGAGTGATGGTGACCTGGGAGCATTTGGCCCCTGGTCCTTACAGGCAGTTTGGTCTGCGTGCTTGTCCTGGGCTCTAGTCGCCGCCACCCAAAGGGACCCACTAGCCAAAGGGCAGGGTGGACAGGCAGTAGGTAAGGCAAGTGCCCTGCCTCAGAGTAGAACAGGCCATGGAGGACACAGACAGGAAAGCACAGGGCCAGTCTGTCACATTGTAAGAAGTGAGGGGTACACAAGGCAGGATTAGCAGTCATTCTCCCCAGGAAGACACAGGCACAGGGACTAGTGACAAAAGCCAGTAGTTAGGGGGACCCTAACCAGGGTCTATATCCAGAGTGCAGGTGGTGTCTAGTGCCCATACAGGTCGATGGCAGCAAAGGGGCTCGTGCCACCCTCAGGGGCACTCGAACCTGCTGTGGACACCACTGTCAGTGACTTTAACAGCGAGATTCCTTGGGCCCTGGGGACTGGTGCTCATAGCCAAAGGCTGGGCTGGCAGATGGGGTTGAGGATGCCAGCTTCACTGTGACCCTCAGGATCCCAGACCTCTTGATCCTTAGCTGTGGGGGTCCCAGGCCTCTGCTCTCTGCAGAAGGAGGGAGTTGTCATGGGAAGATGCCCTAAAGGGCCTGCCCCGGGGCCCATGGGGTTCTCAGGGCAAGTCAGGCCTCAACCTCTGACAGCAAGGCTGTCAAGGTGTCATGCTCGCAGCTCCAGACCATGCAGAGCTGTCACCCACACTGCCACACACACACCCAATAACCCCACACTGCCACCCCATACCGCTGGTGGTCCTTCCACACTTCCCTGCCCCACCCACCCCCACATGACTAACAGAGGCCCCGTGCTGTGACCCAGCAGTACAGACGAGGTGCTGTCCCTGGAAGAGAAAGACCTGAGGGACCGGGAGAGGCGCATGGCCAATAACGCGCGGGAGCGGGTGCGCGTGCGGGACATTAACGAGGCCTTCCGGGAGCTGGGGCGCATGTGCCAGCTGCACCTCAAGTCGGACAAGGCACAGACCAAACTGCTAATCCTGCAGCAGGCCGTGCAGGTCATCCTGGGCCTGGAGCAGCAGGTGCGAGGTAGGCTCCCAGGCCAGCGTCCCCATCGCCATACACCGCTCGTGGCTCGTGGTCCGGCGGCTGCTCGTGCCACCTCCAGACCAGGATATCCCCAGATAGCCCAACTCCTGGTCTCTGCACCCCCAGCCCTCTATATTGTCCTCCAAGAGGAAGCGGCAGAAGCAGGGTGCTGCTGGTCCCTGCATCTGCCCCGCCCCTGGGCCCTCTCCCACTGTGCTCTCCTCCCCATCCCCAGAGCGGAACCTGAACCCCAAAGCAGCCTGCCTGAAGCGAAGAGAGGAAGAGAAGGTGTCAGGTGTGGTCGGGGATCCCCAGATGACACTCTCAGCCACCCACCCAGGCCTGGGTGAAACCCACAACCCCACTGGGCACCTTTGAGTGGTCACTGGAGGAGACCCCAGCCTGCCCAGGACTGTCCTGCACTGCAGCATCACAGTACATCAGCATCTGCTGGCCACGTGGGCCCCAAGGGAGGCAGGCTCAGCCACCGGGGCATGTGACCCACTGAAGGGAGTTGGTTTTTGGTTTTTTTTTTAATTTTGTTTTGGGTTTTTTTTTTTTTTTGCCTCTTGGGTAAACAAAACCAGAAAGCAAAAGCAACAAATTATACACTTTGTAAGAAAGAGAAGAAAAATGCCTTAACTGTATAAACTGGAAGCGTGGGAACCTGTGCCCAGGCCAGGTTGCCGTGTGCAGAACTGGCTTGTTCTATGAGAGCCACCAGCAAATTGTGCCTAAGCATAATATTTTTTTTAAGGAGAATAAAAACGTTAGTTATGAAATTTTTTATGTAGATTAGCAAGAATGATGCCTTTGGTGTCTTTTTTTTTAGCTTTTTTTTGGCATATGTTTTGTAAGCAAATTTTTTTGTATAAAAGTCTCTGTCTCTTGCTGTTTCTAGAAGTTTGTGTTGCATTTCATATTCAACCAGATTATTAAAAATTTGCATTTAAAATGTTCACCTGGGGTCCCCCACCCTTGTACCCCTGAAGCCCCGCACAGGGCAGAGAGCCTGTGTCACCCTCATGATTTTTGTTGATACAGATATTGGTGTCTTGTCTTAGGTTGTCTGTTCTGTGCAGTGATAGGTGGGTCCTTTCCCCTTTTCTCCCCTTCAGGGTAGCCTTAGCTCATCCCTTCCCTGGAGAGGAAGCTGAAGGTGTGACTCAGTGGTAGAATACGTACTTAGCACGAGGCCCTTGGCTCCAGCATAGCAGGGACAGGAACATACCCGGAGGCAGCCAATGATGGAGACAGTTGTGGCCCTCAGCTCAGGCCTCTCCAAGGCCTCTGTCCCCTGGAGCCTGAGCACATCTCTCATGGGGCTGTGTTGGGACCAGTGATACTTGGCACAAGAGCCACACCACCTAGAACACAGTGCTGCGTCCCAGAGAACTCATCATTGAGTTTTGGGTCATGGACCAACTCCCCTGGACTTTGCTGTGGGCTAACACAAAATACCCACTGTCATTCCCTGCCTCAACTGATGGCCATCCTGTGAGAACAACCTCTTGCTAACTGTGGGAACCTAAACACCACATCCCCTTTCTTGGGACCAACTCCCCCAGTTTGCTCAGGCCTGCCAAAGTCACAGCATGGAACTGCTGCCCAGGCACACAGGAACAGGTGGTCACTAACCCAGCTACACAGCCTACCGGGGTGCCAGCCATTCCCCACTCCTGTACCTGGCATAGTAGCTCTATGGACATTCTCACACACCCAAGTCAGCATGTGAGGTTTCTTCCACTTGACTGTCTCTAATGCCATGACCCATACCCCCGCAAGAAAGCTGAAGTGCCGGGCATTGGGGTGTTGAGACCCGAAGGTAAAACACAGGTACCAAAAAGCAAGAATGGTCCAGTCTTCATTTGGCAAACCCAGCCACTTCCATGGCTGGGGAACGCTGCAGTGATCTGTGTGCATTTTGTCCCTAAAGAAATCCCTCAGCCGGGCACCAGTGGCTCACGCCTGTAATCCTAGCTACTCAGGAGGCTGAGATCTAAGGATCTTGGTTCAAAGGCAGCCCAGGCAGGAAAGTCCTTGAGACTTTTTTTTGTTTGTTTGTTTTGTTTTGTTTTTGTCGGTCGTGGGGCTTGAACTCTGGGCCTGGGCGCTGTCCCTCAGCTCTCCAGCTCAAGGCGAGCGCTCTACCACTTGAGCTACAGCGCCACTTCCGGTTTTCTGGTAGTTTATTGGAGATAGGAGTCTCATGGTCTTTCCTGCCCGGGCTGGCTTTGAACCGCAATCCTCAGATCTCAGCCTCCTGAGTAGCTAGGATTACAGGCGTGAGCCACCAGCGCCCGGCTCCATGAGACTCTTATCTCCAATAAAACCACCAGAAAACCAGAAACTAAGTTGTGGCTCAAGTGATAGAGTGCTAGCTTTTAAGTAGCTCAGGAATAGTGCCCAGGACCAACAAAGAAAAATTTGCTTACCTGTTTTTTTTTGTTGTTTTTTTGTCAGTCATTGGGCCTGAACTCGGCCTGGGCGCTGTTCCCCAGCTTTTCAGCTCAAGGCAAGTGTTTTGTCACTTGAGCCACCGAGCCACTTCCAGCTTTTTTTGCTTATGTGGTGCTGAGGAATTGAATCCAGGGCCTCATGCATGCAAGACAAGTACTCTACCACTGAGCCACCATATCAGCCCTATGCTTCAGTTACTTATTTTGCTTTTCTTTACATTTGTTCAAACAGGCAGTGGCATCCTCTGGCCACATAGACGGGAACTGTGAATTATGTATAAATTAATGAGATTAAGAACATAAAGCCAGGGGCTGGGAAGGTGGCTCAGTGGTAGAGTGTGTGCCTTGCATGCCTGAGGCCCTGGGTTCAATTCCTCAGCACCACATAAGCAAAAAGAAAAAAGCCGGAAGTGGCTCTGTGGCTCAAGTGGTAGAGGGCTAGCCTTGAGCTGAAGAGCTGAGGGACAGTGCCCAGGCTCAGAGTTCAGGCCCTATGACCTGACCCAAAAAAAAAAGCTACCAGTAGCTCACACCTGTAATCCTAGCTGCTCTGTAGGCTGAGATCTAGGATCGTAGTTCAAAGCCAGCCCAGGCAGGAAAGTCCATGAATTATCTCCAATTAACCACCAGAAAACCAGAAGTGGTGCTATGGCTCAAGGGGTAGAGCCTTGAGCTGAAGAGCTTAAGGACAGCGCCCAAGCCCAGAGTTAAAGCCCCATGATCAAAAAAAAAAAAAAAAAAAAGTCAATTTGGAGGTTCTTGGGACTAACAGCAATGTTGCAACCTGTGTTGTGTGACATTTTATTTTTATCAGTCATAGGGTTGAACTCAGGACCTGGACACTGTCCCTGAGCTCTTTTGCTCAAGGCTAGTACTCTACCACTTAGAGCCATAGCACCACTTCCAGTTTTCTGTGGTTAATGGGAGAGAGATAAGAGTCTCACTGAATTTCCTGTCTGGGCTGGCTTTGAACCACCATCCCCAGATCTCAGCCTCCTGAGTAGCTAGGATTATAGGCTTTGAGCCACTGGCACCCAGCTAAATGACATGATGACATTGGCCATTCTGAGTCTCAAGTATGGTATGAAGAGGGATAAAGAGGTTAGTTAACCTTACTCTCAGTGTCCATGATGTCCTTATCTACAGGCAGCTGCTTGTCCTGTGCCTATACATTGTGTGCAGTGATTCCACAGGTGTGCCTCTACCCATTCCATGCTAGAAGCCACCCCTAATGATAACAATTACCAATGTCTCCAGGTATCACCCAGTATTCCTCAGAGGCACAACTGCCTCTGGAGTGGTATCTACAAACAGGCCCCAGCCTTTGTCAAAACCAGAAAGAACAAAGATAAGATTCAGGAATCACTGGGTCCAGGACCTGCGGCCCTCAAGCTCTGTGCCTGTCTCCACTCCTGCAGGCACCCTTATTCTCTCAGTAATTTTTTTTTTTTTGGTCAGTGGTGGGGCTTGAACTCTGGGCCTGGGCACTGTCCCTGCTCTCTTCAGTTCAAGGTGAGCACTCTACCCTTGAGCCACAGTGCCACTTCCAGTTTTCCAGTGGTTTATTGGAGATAAAGAGTCTCACAGTTTCCTGCCCGTGCTGGCTTTGAACCATGATCCTCAGATCTCAGTCTCCTTGAGGATTACAGGCGTGAGACACTGGCGCCAGGCTTTTTTGTTTTTCTTTTGTGCCGGTCCTAGGGCTTAAATTTAAGGTCTGGACACTGTCCCTGCGCTTGTCTTAAGGGTTAGTGCTCTACCACTTGAACCATAGCTCAAGATAAACTTTAGGCTTTTTCAGTAGTTTAGTGGAGATAGAGTCTCCCAAGCCGGTCGTCGGTGGCTCATGCCTGTAACCCTAGCTACTCGGGAGGCTGAGATCTGAGGATCAAGGTTCAAAGCCAGCCGGGGCAGAAAAGTTCATGAGACTCATCTCCAGTAAAACACCAGAAAACCGGAAGTGGTGATGTGGTTCAAGTTGTAGAGTGCTCGCCTTGAACTGAAGAGCTGAGAGACCAGGCCCAGAGTTCAAGACCCACGACTGACACAGACACAGACACACAAAAGAGTCTCCCAGACTTTCCTGCCTTGGCTGGTTTTGAACTTCAATCCTAAATTCTCAGCCTCCTAAGTAGCTAGGATTACAGGTGTGAGCCACGTGCACCTGGCTTTACATCCCACCTTTTACATTTCTACCAACAGGCATTGTCTCATTCAGGTGCTTTACAATCTCAAGCGCTGAAACACCCAGAGCATGGAAGAGCCTAGAATTAATGCCCTTGCCATCCCATTACCATGTCTACAAGCCCTTAGCTAAAGGGCAAGACAGAACCTGAAAGCCCCAGGGAGAGCTACAGCAAGAGCTGGTCCTGTGAGGGCAGTCAGGACTGGGCAGGCAAATCGACTGCGCGGGTAGATCCTTCACCAACCTCCCCAGGGACAAGGAACACCCAGTCATTCACCTAGGCCTTGTCCTTTTTGCCCAGGTATCTGGGGATATCAGAGGACTTCCGCAGGGAGGTGGGCACTTGATGAAAATGAGGAAGAAGCTCAATGGTACAACTTGGGGAGAGGGGACTACCTCCCCTTCTCTGCCTGTAGAGCACAGGTGGGGGGAGCGGAGGAGGCTGGAAGTTCTGGAAGGGTCAGGCACAGTGCAGGAGGAAAGATGATCAACCTGCCTACGGACCAAGGACCAACACTGAGCCAGGCCTCCCCCTACTGCCCGAAAGAGGCATCACCAACCCCGGCAAAGGGAAAAGCTCGCCGATTTCTGAAGGAGCCTCCCAAGCAGCTCAGGAGGCGCCAACAGGCTCGGGCCGGGACTGCCACGCGGGCCAACGCCTCCGGTACGCCCCTGGGCAAGGCCCCTCCTCGTCTGGCCCCAGGAGAAGCACTGACCGGGCGCGCCCCAGTTCACCTGATACAAAGCTAGCTACAGACCGCGGCCGCGAGGGCGGACGCGCACCCGACCCAGAGCCACAGCCGCTCCCGACCACGTGTGCGGAAGGCCCGCCCACAAACGCCGGCGTCTATTTTCGTCTCCCGGAAGTTGCGTCTTGGCTTCTGGGCCTGCGCACGCAGCCTTGGAACAGGTGGCGGCGGTGCGGAGATCTATACGCATGCGTGCCAAAGACGCGCTTGCGCAGAACGGAGCTGCCGCTGGGACGCGGTGACCCTGAGTGTCCCGACCAGGTCCGCGATGCTGAGCAGGTTCCTGGGTCCGCGCTACCGGGAGCTGGCCAAGAACTGGTGAGGTTGCCTCCCGCCATCCAGCCTGCGCCCCCGCTGGCGGCGGCTCTGATGTTAGAGGGGGAGCCCGAGTCTGGGACAGGTGAACCGCTCCATCCCGGGGTCGAGATGGAACCCGGGACCGGACTCCGCGGCACCCTCGGCCCGGGGCTGAGCCGCTTCGAGCCTCAGTTTCCCCAGAGAGCCTAGTTCGTGGTGCTGGTTGGAATGAAATGCCCAGAAGGCGAGGGCCTGGGCGCCGCTTACGA